CTAACTCGGTAACCCGTGACCCGATTTTAACAAAACTTGTTTTATTCTGTTTCTATTCTCATTTCATTACAAATATGGCAATATTGTGCACTGTTTTTGCTGTATTTAATTACAGACAAACAAACAAACAATCTCAGAGTTTTAGTAGTATATAGATACTATAACAAGAGTATAAAAAGATGAATGATAATTTACATTACCTCATTCTTTACTGACCTAGTACTGTAAGAACAGCATATAAACTATACCTTGTTTGTTACTTTAAGATATCAATAATGATTCTCACCTGCCAATGATGGAAGACAGACAAACAAAATGCTTGGCCTTGTGTATGGGTACGAAGATCTGTCTCAAAACCAAAGGAGTCAATAGCTGGAATAAAGGCTTTGATTGTGTAAAGAGGTGAACCTGGAACTGGAGCATCTTGGGTCACATGTCCTCTGGAATACAACTCTTGGTTATGATAGGCAGTTTGTATTACAAAATACATGTCCAATCAAAACTTATTTTGTCAAAAGTTGTGAGAACAGTTTTAAAATCAAGAAGACAGATACATACAAATAAGAGAAAAATTGTAATTAGATCTCAAATCAATCAAGAGATGACAGGGCTATGAGCTAAAAGTTTGTATTTAGAAAAACCAACAACTCAGAGCCAATATGCCGCAGCTAAAATAACTAGCGACTTTACAAACTAAACAGTATGATTTCTCAATGTAAAAAAACAGTGATTAATATGGCAAAATTTAGTCAAACACTAACTTTACAACCCAACATACACTACTCAAAATACTATTAAAAGAAAACTATTAAACATGTTTTACATATTTTTGCAAGCAAACCAACCAAGAATACCAAAATTTACAATCTATCACAAATCCATGAAAACCCACTTTAAGAAGAAATCTGACTAGCTGCAGCAAAACCATGCCTTGCCTTACTATGGTCATTTGAGAGAAGAAAGAGGAAGGAGGAGGAAATATAACAATTACAAGAAATATTAAAAATGCTTAGTTGTATATATATCCTACAATATTATGACACAGTTTTATATTTGCATTGAATATACATGCATACATCTATACAACTTGTGGTTGCAAAATCCAGTCCATGCATCATTCCTGTATAGTTTAGTAGTCTCTCCAATCCAGTGTTTAGAGGGTATAAATATAGTAGCTATATATATATATTTTAGAAGAATATACATAACAGGGTATGTTGATCACCATGCATCACAGTGATCATACATGCAGTACCACTATCAATGATATCAGGAACAATAGCCATCCAATCTGTATGAAGCCAATCCAAAGGTTGGCAATGTTTCCAGAGAGATCATCATACACCAACTACATATTTCATTAAACTTTCAAATAGGACAGTACTGCTATTATACAGACTTATGTCCATCATGGACACAAAAAAACTAAAGAAACAAGATTATTAAAAAGTGGGAATAGGGATTTTCAAAAAATTACAGAAACAAGACAGGAAGCTTAAAGTAAAAATGCAATCACCAAAAAAAGTAAGCAAAGAAGCTTACAGTTTGAGACACAAGTGTTGACATTATTTCCTCAAGCTAGAAATCCCTATTTTGACTCCACATCTAAAAGTGTAATATTTAGGAGAGTCAAAATAGGGATTTGTAGCTTAAGGAAATAACATCAATACTATTTCCCAAACTTTAAGCTTGTTTGTTTAATTTTTTGCAATTGCATTATCACTTTAAGCTACCTATCTTGTTTCTTTAACTTTTTGAAAATTCCTATTCCCCCTTTTAAAATTAACAATTTTTTAACAATCTTGTAACTTAATGATTAAGAGCTATAAATAAATGAAAGTTATATTTCTTGGTTTGACAGAATGATTGACTATTTAATTACATGGAACATATTTCTTACAGGAGTGATGATACAATTCACGACTATTTAAATACATGGATCTTTTTTCTTCTTGGTATAACAAGCTTACATAAGTGGAACATTTTCTTTTGTAATAGCTATTTTTATCTTGGCATAACTAATTATTATTTCAAGAAATAAACTTATTTTTTTCTTGGTATGGTGAAATGATGAATAACTAATTAAATAAATGGAACTTTTTAGTATGCTAGAACAATTTATGACTATTTTCTTTCTGATACAACAAAAATGATTAATGAACATTTGCGCATGGTTCCACGTACTTTTTCATGGCAAAATAGAAGGACTAATGATGATTTAAACACAAGGAACATTTCATAATATAGAAAAATGATTAATCACAACTTAATTATTGAGTAACAGAAATATCAATGACTACTTTTACATTGTGTAACAAAATGATTAATGATTATCTATACTTTTTGATACTAATGATATTAAAGCAATAAAAACTTTTTTATTAACCCTTTCAAGACAGGTCACAGGAGAAAGGCCATGTCATCTCATTTGTTGACTCACATTCAAAATTTCATTGAACTATTATTTCATGAATTTATGTCAATCTTTGGTATCAAATTGTAGATTATAATTCAAATTTAGTACTATACATTACTCAATTTCTTAATTTAAAAGCAAATATTAAAAAAACACAGTTAAACATCAATTTTTGTGTCACGTGGTATGTTGAATGCAGCACTGGTTCAAATTAAATGTTTGTGAAGTCAAAACACTAAGTCTATCATTTTGTATGAATTAAAACCTCAAATTAACAATACTGACAAGCTAGAATATAGAATAAGAGCCTCTTATCTTTTCTATTTGCTAAGATATTGCTCATGTAATAAATCAAACACAGTGGCACCCCGCCCAACTCTTTCCATTTTTGGAAACACTCCCTTACTTCTATATGAATAACAAATCTGAAGCTTGGAATGTCCCCTAGTGGCTTTCACAGCCATTTTAACGGACTTGGCACCATTTCTTTATTTTGAACCAATATTTCAACGAGGTAGGGTGAGTCTTTAGTATGCTTGAAATTTCAGTTTTATAGACTAAAATTCATCTTAGTTACTGAGCTTAATAAATTATAGTGGAATTTTATGGTATTAATGTAGTAATTTATGATTTTTTAGTTATTCAAATGTATATATAAAACCTTATAAAAAAATTTGTTTCATATCCTCCACGTGCAACTTTCTAAAGGCTTAGCAATCTGCATCAAGCAGCAACTGAGTACAAAGGTCGTAACTAGAAGAGATAATTGTTTGCTTTACTTCTTTAGTTACTGTTCTA